CCTTGGAGCCACTGGTTCTCCTGCTCCCCCTCTACAAGACTGCCTCCCACAGCCTCCAGCTACAGCCACAGCTACAGTTAATTTTATTGAAACTGTTTTGGGCTCCCCAATGGTTACCTCTGACCACGTAGTCAAGGACACATTGGACCTGGGCTAGCCAAGCTTTGGTTTTTGCATTGCCCACTGAATCCACTGAATGCCCGTGTAGAAGTCCGCAGTCCCGAGTCCACTGGTCGCCCGGTTCTGTGCTGGCAGCAACGAGCTGAGGGCTCCCAGCTCGGTGCTGGCGGGAATTAGCGTCAGTAAATCAATGAACCGGAGTCGCCATCGCGCCAGCAGTCCGAGTACAGTGCGACCAGGCAGGGCACGCCGACTATGAGCCACACCCTACTGGGTTAGCTGGGAGAAATAGAGGAGGCCTACGCAATGGGACTGTGGATGGTGGACTGTACTGTAGATGGATATAGATGATCGCTCACTCCCTGCTGCCTGCTGCCTGTTGCCCGCGCCCGTTGCAAACATACCCTTGAACCCAGGCTGCCCTGCCCTGCCCCATGCTCTGCTCTCTGCTGTGACCAGGTGCACGCGGAGTGGAGTCCACAGACCAAAGACCGGGCCGCACAGTTGATTAGAAATCTCATTCGCATTAGCTGCCCGTTTGGTCAATTGAATCGGATTCGATTGTGTGAACAGTTGATTGCCGACCCCAGCCAGCAGATCTATTCCCACAGTTTCTCTCGATTTCTGATTTAAATCGAGTGCAGGAACATTCTCGTGGGATGGGATGGGCAACGCAACTGCTCGACTTGAGCGCGAGTACGAGTATTGCGGTCATATTTTGTCGTGGAGCAACGAGTACGAGTATGAAAAGTTCACAAAACAAAACAAAATGAAACGAAATGAAACGAAACTCCCTGCAAAAAGGCAACTTTAGAATTCGCAACAAACAGCTGAAGAAAGACACACAGGAACACACACAGAGGCATCTGAGAGATACGAGTGAGTGCTGAGATGCTGAGATGCAGATACTAAGTACAAGAAGCAACGAAGCAACGAAGCAACGAAGGCAGCGCGGCAAACTTTGTCAAAATATGAGATTTGCATAACTAAGAAGCATGCGAAGGCAGTCCAGGGTAAGGCAGAAAGGGAAAGCAGAGGAGCCAGGGAAAGCAGAGCAGCCTGGGAAAGCAGCCAGGGAAAGTAGAGCAGCCTGGGAAAGCAGAACAGTCTGAGGAATGTGTTGGCTGCTCTACGTGGATGTAAATGGTTGTCTTTTCGCAAAGGGGGTGTGGCGTGTATGCTGTGTGTATCTTTTTTGGCTGTGTGGATGGATGGATGGGATGCTGGTTCTGTGTGGCATTCAACAACTTTCCGAATTGAGACACTGAATGAACGAGTTGAGATGTTGACGGCAACGGATGTCGACTGCCATTCACTTCATACAAATTTTATCACTGATTCAATGTATAAAACGTGAATATTCAATGTCTGGCACAGACTACGCAGTTCCTCTCGTCTTATCTGTTTGTGTCTTGATTCAATTTAAGCAGTAGGTGGTGGCAAAAACACTTCACCTGAGCCAGCAATCCTTCTCTGACGGTTGCTACACCAGAAGGGAACACGCCACTTGAATGTTGTTGTTTAGCCGCGGAATATATTTTCCCTTCAACTAATGAATGCTCCTGGGTCTTTATTTATTGATTAATCCTCCATTTGCAATATGTAGCGATATCGGGATTTTGCCAAAAGTAAATCAAAATATGCAAAATAGCTGATAACTAATAATTTCCTTTAACAATTTGGCGAAAAGCCCCCCCGGACTTCAGGTAATGAGAATGGAGCAGGGCAAAAGGCAGCAGGACGATTGGAGGATGGAATCTCATCTGGGTCTCATTTGGCAGCCAGCTCACGTGCCGTATCCGAGTCGGAGGGTCTGCCTGCCTGCCTGCCTGCCTGTTGGTTCATTGTCCATTCTGGCAACAAGGCAACGCGGGGTAAAAAAAAGGAAAGGAAAGCAAAGGAAACCCAATCCAATAGAAGACCGAACCAAACTGAGTCGAGCCGAGCCGAGTCGAGGCCCAGTTAATGATATTGTTAATGCTGAGGCCGGGCCATAGGGAAACGGGAATGGAATTGAAGGCATGAGAATGGGTTGGGATGTTAATTATGCTGTCAAATCTCTTGCAAAGTCAGGATATACTCTTGAATCCCCCCTTGCTTGCCCTCTATCCATCCCTTTTGTGTGCAAATGCTTGGCTCTGGCTCTGGCCCTGGCCCTGGCCCTGGCCGTTGTTCATTGAAAAATTGACGCTCATAAAGTCAACAAGGACTAGACACACTGACACTTGGCCCGGTTACCAAGTTACCAAACTACCAAGCGATACGATACCGAGAGCAGCTGCTCTGCTCCTGGTCCCCTGGCCCAACCCTTTGGGACAACTTGTCATTGTTCAACCATTTGTTAGCACAATCATAGGGCCAGCTGCAATCTTGGAGCAGCAGCTGGTGTCTGTATCATCGCATGCATCACTGACAAACTTAAGGAAGACTTCAGGCCACCCACTGCTGCTGCTACTTCCTCCACATCCTGCTCCACAGATGGGTGGCGTGCCAATTGTGGCCGCAAGCTTCTTTTTTGCTACCATTAGGCATTTAATCGAAGCTGTTTTGGCTTCCAGCCCAACCACACAATGCCAACTGCAGCAATCAATCGCTGAAGGCGAGGCGTTTGCCAATGATCGAGTGGAGCAGCAGACCTTGAGGGAGGGGTCAAATCATAGTCACAGGGGTCAATATCTTGTTGGATAAAGTCCACAAAAATTACCCTTCGATACATTTGGGTAGGCTGGAAGCTAAGAAGAAAGCTCTCGTACCACAGACTTTGGTATATCCCTCTTGAACTTGCAGAGATGAGAGTTACGGGTTGGAGTACGTTTTTCAATAATATCACGGGTGCAAACACCCTTAGCCATAAGTCACAAATCGAAAATTGCAATTAAAAAAAAGGAAAAAGACAAAGATCAAAAATAATTACACACCACAGCGCACGATACTCGCAACGATCAAGTCGCATTACAACTCCAGCGAAGATGCAAAAACTGTAAGCCTTTACCCAACCCTGGCCAACCCGGCCAACCCTGCCCGACTGGCTGTTATTGGCTGTAACCCACAGCTAAGCCACTTATTTAAGCCACAGTGAATTGAATAAAAGTGCAGACTGAGGCTGAGGCTGAGGCGGTGGCGGAGGCGCGTTGGTTGACTAATTGGGTCATAATTAGCTACAAAGTGGGAAAGCGTTTCGCTGTCAACAATGTTGCCGGATAAGATGCGGCTTCAAAAGGTTGGCAGCCCGGACTTATGGCAGCTCGAATTTTCCTAAGTACGCCAGTATCTATGAGGGTCGGCGCCTGTTTGAGTAACTTTCACTCTGTGTTCGTGTGTGAGTTGCTCAAAAGCTGAGAAAAGTCAATGCCGCGAAAGCCTTTCGCCAGAATCTTCACGGCCTCCTTTGCTTAATTGCTGGGTAGCATAATTAGCTGGGCTTAAATTCCAATGCCAAGTGCCAAGTGCCTGCTGTCAGTGTGTTCTGCCGTTGGTAAAATATTTACTAATCGCATCTAATCGCATCTATATATATATATGGGCTTTCTCCTTCCCCATCTTCAAGAAGGAGAAGACCCACTTCAATAAGACAATATGTTTGCGGCAGAGACACTTCAGGTTCAAAAGGTTTTATTCAGGTAAAGTTCAGGTAAAGTGCCAATGAAAAGCTGGGAATTTGGATTAAAATCTAAAGAGCTCGTGGCATCAGCACAAACGCCCTTGGGAGAGACAGAATAATAATGTAGAAATAATTTTCAATATCTTCTGTTATTCTAAGCTTAAATTCCAACTACAGAGATACGTAATTGTTTTAGCTTTGATCTGCAGATAGATGTTTGAATTCCAATTTCAAAATTGATAATTAAATTAAATATTAAATATCATAATAACTCAAGAATAAAATATAAAATGGAAACCTATGAAATCGTATACACATAAATGTTCCGCGGAGATAGTTCGCGAAGATATTTATAACAGTACACAGTGGTTATTGATTAACGAGATTAAAATTAAAATATTTATATATAGTATGGTTATTGATACATTTATAGGTATATATATGTAGCTATATAGTAGATAGATATATAAGTGGGAGTTCTTATTGAATATCACAACACCTATACGGGGTATTTATGGGGTATTTAGTTTAGGAGTTACAAGCTATCAGAGGATCAGTGGGTAAAAGTACGAGTAGATTGTAGATTTGTAGAGAATACACAGATTTATAGAGAAATATATAGATACACAGAGTATACATACTAGCATAGGGTAAATGGGAGTTGTACGAGTAGTTCCACAGAACATCAATAAATCAAGAATACTTTTCAAGACGAGTCTCAAATGCAAGTTCCGCCAAGAAGGAAATATCAAAGGAGCACATTTAAGATAGCATACTAAAGTGGGGGCGGGGTATGTTATATGGGTACAGTGTGGTACATTATCTTATAGATGAGTTCCACCAGGAACCCAGGTAGGGGCCCCGTCACGGGGCTACATGGGTGCCTGGTGGTGGCTCGGTAAAACTGAAGGCTGAATGTCGGGATGGATGGATGTCGGGATGGTTGGATGGATGCGTTATGCTCCAAACACTTAAAGGTGCACATACGCATGCTATGGTAATTAGGCTGATTTAATTTTGGGCCTAACCAGGTCGGGTCAGACTAGGCTGGGCCCGTTCGCTGCCATCTTGGCCCACCACCTTCTGCTTCGGCTCTCTTGGCTCTTGTTCTTTGACATCGCATGCCCAATTAGCTAATGGATATTGACAGGGACACACGGGGACACACACACACACAGGGACACACGGGGACACACAAGGACACGGGGACACTTAGTGGGATGGGGGACGGGGGAGGGGCTGTTAGGATGTTGATACCCACATGGGTCGACTGACTTACCTGTCGCTGTGCGATTCCCTGTCGCGATCCGCATCCACATCCCCACCTTGCACCACCACCACGGATGGAACTGCAACAGCCACCGCTCCTACCTCGGTACCCGTGGCTCCTCCGTCGGCATCTGCGACTCCTCCGTGGGCTCCTGCGGCTCCTCTGTCGGCACCTGCGGCTCCAGTGTGGCCGCCAGCGGCTCCTCCGTCGGCTGCTGCGGCGCCGCCATGGGCTCCTGCGGCTTCATCGGCACCAGCTGCTCCTGCAGCTCCTCCGGCGGCTCCGGCGGCCCCGTCACCGTTGCCAAAGCTGCAGCTGGCCCCCTGGGCATCCTCGTGCAGGGTCACGGCCACAGATGTTTCGATCTTCTTGTCCTGATACTTGTCCGACATCTTTCCACTCAATCGAAAGGCTTGGCTTCTTCTGCTGGTCTGAGAGTTCCTTGTGGCAATTTGGCAATTTGCAATTTGCAGTTTGCGGGTGAGTTTCCTGTCCTGCCAGGACACGACACAACACAGAGACATGAGACATGAGATGAGAACAGTCGAGCAATTTCCAAAGTGTTGTAATTGTTTTTTAATATACAGCCTTTTCCTGAGAGCCCCCCCAAGCAGAAAAAGAAAACGAAAGGAAAGGAAAAAAAAGGAAAACCACGGAAAATTTAATGTTAATTAATTGCCGTGTGGCTGTTGGAAAGCGGCTTAGGTCCTGTCCCCGTTCCCGCTCCCGTTCCCGCTCCTGCTCTGCTCCCGTCCCCTCTCTGCTCGCGCCTCTGTCTAAGTTTTGGTTTAGGTTTTTCCCGGCTTTTATTGCTTTTGCGCGAAATTAGCCGCAATTTTTGTACGGCCAGCCAAAGGCAGGAGGAGACTTTAATAACATTTCAGGTCATTCGGCGGTCATACATGGGCTGTCGCCTCCCTCAATGTCGAACGCCTGTTCGCCTGTGGAATCGACTCACTCGGGCGGGCGGGGCATTTGTGGTTCAACAAGTGAAAAAAGTCATGCTTTATGCCACCATCGAGGCACATTTATTTGCGTACTGGCATTGCTCTCTAATTGGGTGTGAAATCAGAAAGGTGTCCCCACGTGCATATACAAATTTATGTTTGCAGCAGCGAATCAGCGAATCAGCAGGAGTCAGAGCATCCATCAAAGTTAGCCCTTAAATTGCCCGTGGAAAGTGTGGAGTTCAGCACTCAGTTTTCCCATGAATGCAATTAAGCTTAAACGGTTCTCTTATTTATGACAGAGTGCCCATTTATGGGAGGATGTAATCAGTTTGTCCCTGCCAATAAAATGCATTGTGAATTGTATTGGCACTGCATTGGCGGCAATTATTGGCTGCAATTAATATTCAGATAGCATTGTTTAAAGGCTTAGCCATGCCCACATATTACACCTTTTGGCCAGTCTTTTGAGGGCGGACAGGCATGGTTTAAAGCACTTCATCATCATCGACGCACCCAGAACAGAACAGAGCAGAACAGAACCGACAATTGATCAATTGCAGAAGATTAGCGCCACCAAATGCAAGTAATTAAAAAATAATATAATTTTAATGGCCAGGCCGACGAACCGCAGCCGTAAGGACGGACCAGAAATCACAAATCACTCACGTTCCCGTGCCCGTAACCAGGCTGGTGGCTGGTGGCTAGTGGCTAGATGGGCGGATGTCTGACAGTGGCAGCGATTAGATTAGAGTGTGGAAAGCAGTTAGTCATGGTCGCAAATTAACTACTTTTGGCCGTAATTGGGCCAGCGAGCGAGCCGGCCAGACGATAGCCGATAAATAGGCAACACTTGATGGACGCAATGTGGAGTTTTGGCTGCGTAATAGATCTGCATTTGGCTGTCTGACTGCCATGCCAAAGTCCCCCTGACCACAGACACTGACAGAGATATATGAATGTGGCATGGCGGTTTGCCTGGGAGGAGAGAGGGAGGGCGACACGCAGCGCAGGGATTTCTGCGGCAGTCCACAAATTATAAATGAAAATTTTCACAGCATTTGCATATGAATGATTCACACGGGGCCAGGCATAACAAAGGCTTGGGCGGTTCGGTTAGTGTGGGGCTATGGACTGTGGCCTGCGCTGCCCTATAATAAATAAATAAAGAATGAACAGAGTCCATCCTCCTTTCTGTGCTGCCAAGAAAGGTGCCATGGCGGAAAGGGAAGCTGGCAGAGCGAACATAAAGGAGCAGCAGCAGCAGCCATAGAGCTCTGTCCCAACACTAGGTAGCCGCACCACCAAAAACATTGTAGCTTTAGCCACCCGCCGCCGCCGCCGCACTGGTCCCCCCCTACACCAGTAAAAACCGCAACGAGCCCCTGAAGGCCCCTGTGGTGCAATGAAATCCCCTATAATTAATAAATTAGTTAAACTTATAATAAAACTTATAATTACTTCCTATCCCTATTTTAATGCTACAAAAAAGGCGGCCACTCCCATCTTTGAAATCCATTAATGTGGGGGGGGGACCATAGTGCGCCGCCACCGCCGCCGCCGCCCACACACACATGCTCATCAAATATGAAAAGGCAACGAAAATTAACCCGAAAAATATAAGGGAGAAAAAGAGAAGAAGAAAAACCAAGAAAAGCGAACTGAACCGAAATGAAATTTTCTGCTTAGGTCGCCAAAAGCGGGAATCGCTTTGATAGCATAAAAAAAAAGAGAGATGGCTTTATAATAGATATAAAGAAGGGGACGAAGCCTTCGGAGCCTCTCAGAGATACCTGACCTCTGCCAGCCAGAACCTCTGCTAGCCAGTCCCATTTCCACTCCCACTCCCACTCCCACTTCCATTCCACTTTCCACATTCTTAAAGTTTTACTGTTACTTCTTGCTTACTTTCCCTTCTTTTTTTTTTTTGTTTTCTTTTTGTTTGTTAAAAACCATAAAGTTTTCTCGGCACGCACGCACTTTCAAACAATAAAAAAAATATGCCAAAAAAAAGGTACGATTATAGTACAGAACATGATTCCAAACCTTTTATGCGTTGGATATGTTTGGGCACTTGTCAACTGGTTCTTCGATCTTCGATCGTCGTTCCTCGTTCCTCGTTCGTCGCTTTGGACTCCGGTATCTCAGATATCGTTGGTTGTTATTTTTATTTTTGTGTGACGCTGTCGCTGTCGTTGGTGTTGACGCTGATTTTTTTTTTTTGGCGGCTCTGCCTCACTGGAACACTCAATCTGAACTTGGAACTCTGGTGGTGGCTGATGATATTAACTTCCTTGCTGGGTGCTGTTCGGTTTACTGCAAACGTAACCGACAAGTGCTGAACAGGAACTGAAGTCTCTGGGCTAGAGGACACGTTATTTTAAATAAGCCACTGCTCGGGTCTGTTGTGTTCTATCGACTGTTGCTTCCCCGCGTCGCGCTGCCAGCTGTTGAATCGCCTCACCGAACTGTTGGCCTCCTGCGGCAGTCGCCTCCGAAAGCTTTTCGGAGAAAGCTCTGCTAAGGGCACATTAACAGAAGGCTGTTACGAATGCTGTTAGGGCTCTGTTAGGGGACTCACTCTGATATGGACCTTGGGCTTGAGCATGGAATCAGCGACCCCTCAACCCCCTTCTAGCATATGCTTGTGTTATGGAAAGGGAACCTAATCCCTATATCCCCACAACGTGCCTCGTACACAATGTTGTTTCAAATAAATATAGAAAATAATTGCTGGAAGAACAATAATGCAATCCCTGCCTCGTATGCAAATGTTATGCATATTCGATCATAGTTTCGCTTTGAAAACGGAAAACATTTGCCTAGAAATTGTATTTATAGATGCCTATGGATGCTTCAAGGATTCACGTGTACCAGTTGATTTATTCATACAATTTATTCACCCTTAAATATATATATTTCCATAAAATAAAACTACCATTCAAATAAGTTTATTTTGTATCGGATTTGATATTTAAAAGTATTTTACTTATTTCTTAGCTAGCTAGCGGTACTCCCAAGAATATTCCAGCATAAAGGATGTTTACCTATCCTATGTACGAGAGAGGGCTGATCAATAGCACTTTGAATAAACGATGGAGGTAAAACTAACCAAACCCAAAAGTGAAAAAATAGCAAAAAATACTTTTGGATGTTGCGGCCCAACTGCAATGGAAACAAAGCAAACAAGGGTTGAATTTTTGGCAAAAAATATTTTTTGTCTATTTTTTCACTTTTGAGGTTTGGCTAACGAATTTTAGCTCCCCTTATCCAAAGTTTTAATGACAATACCTAAACGCGACTAACTATGCGACTAAAACCAAAGTGGCAGAATTATTTTTTTGTGACTTTTCCCAGTTTTAAAATCAAATTTAGAAAATAACTCAAAAAATTATGAATTTGAATTGAAACTAAAATCTTCCAGGCGTTACCTACAAAAAGGCTGGTTTGGATTTATAGCTGCGTTTTCAGCTTTTCAGAACTGCATAGTTCTATGCAACCAGATATAAAATACTTAAGTGAAAAATAGAAGCACTACCTCTGAAAAAAAAAAAAATATCAGATTTTAAAAAATTCTTTAAAAAAAACTACTCCATTAAAAAAACAACAGTTCGTTCAAAAATTTAAAACCCCGAAATCTATAAGAATCTAAATTTTGGGTCATTAAAAAAAAATTCTAGTGTTGACTAGTGTAGGCCTACCTAAGAAAGCACCACCTATTTTCGCATTTGGTACAATGAAAACTCCACATGTCTGCACCATTTCATTTTACCGGTGGAAAAGATTTTGTTCTTTGACAAGTACTGTCGTTTTTTTTCCCAGTCCTCATTAAATCGATCAAAGAAATTGGCATTGTATTTGCCATTATCCGTTTTACCCCTCTATAAAGATAATCCATGTGGTTAATACCGCGAGCATTCCACAAAACGATCGCCATGACTTTATTGGCTGAAAACCCCACCTTGGCCATCTTTTGCCTAGAATCACCCTGAGAAATATGCTGTTATGACTGCTTTTATTTCTGGTGGGTTGTCCACGCTAACAAAACGGCGAAAAAACTCATCCTTATTGTGGTTAAACAACGCAGAACACTCCTTCGATGTTGTGACACGAGGGCGCTTGTGGTCCACTGTGAGATCATTCAAAATTGAAACCTTTTAACCATGCGGCAGCCTATGGCTCCCAGAATATGTTGCAATTTCAATTTCCGACCAATCGGCCAAAACCACATCGTAAATTTTTAAATTCTTCGGTTATAAGACCATAACTGGGCGCCCCGTTTTTGCACAATCAAATATAGTAAACCACTATTTTAGCATTGAAATCGATGAAGAAGAGATCCCATAGTATTATTCAAGCTTTTCCTTGGTTTCAGTTGTGGTTTTTTTCCGCAAACAATAATGCTTAGTCAGCACACGAAATTCCCTTTTTCCAATTATTTCTTCAAATTCAAAAGTGACCATGCTAAAACTACCGCCAAAATTGCCACATGAAACTTTCTCAGCAATCAGCCAATTAAAGACACTAATCGAATAAAATATTTATGGCTGGCTAGCAATGTGTTCTTTTGGTAATGCCGATTACGTGGCAGCCCGCCCTCGCACATTTATTTTGTGTCGTAGTCCTGGGAATACTTTCCAAATGCCCTTCGTTGGAATAGTGCTGGTTCTGATTGGTTGTTCTCATTGTCTTCACGTATTTGCATAAAGCGAAAAAATTCCAAGAAAATTCTGTTTTGCGTATGGAATAACATTTCAGTTCTAGAAATTCCATTTCAATTTTTTAGTGAGCTTTACAATGTTTTCAAATGAATTGCAGAGTCTCTCTCTCTCTCTCTCTTAAATGTAATATGACAAACTATTCGTTCTGTACATTGAAGATAGTTTTGTGGTTTTTTTTTTGTAGCTCCACGGTTTCACTTACACTTCCCGCGGGAATTGCGGGATCCAACCTTGAACTTGACACACTGGGCGACAAATTGTTACCTTGATCCGTCAGCCCCCCCCCCCCCAACGCTCACTCCCTCAACGACTTCTTCCTGAGCACCTGTCAGTCTCCTGTGAAGCGTCCCCAAAATCAACAAGTGGAGCATCAAGGAATAAGGCGCGGCGCAGGCAGCAGGCAGGAGCCAACCCGACGTAAAAACAAAAAAAAAATGACAACGAAGGGCAAACAGTTGCATACCAGACGTGGAAAGTAATTACAGAGCCCACGGGCCAATCCTCAGTGCTCTCCTCTCCAGCTCTGGCCCCTGGCGCTCAACCACCTGTGCACGGGCCACGACTTTAACTGGCAAGCCTTGGAGAATCTGTCAAAGGGAAGTCCTTAAAGTGGCGCCTCAGGCCGCTCTGTCGAATCACCTGAAATACGTACCATAATAAAGTGCAGCCTTGTGGGGGGTCTGAAAGAACCAAACAAACAAGTTTTGCATGCACCCGGCCCCGTTGCCAAGGAAGCCATTTAAATCGGATCTGCCCTGGGACCACCTGCCATTTCTAACCAAGTGCAACACAAAAGAAGCACAAAAGGAGCAGCAGTCTCCGGGGGCGGGAGTGGGGGAGTGGGGGGGGTGTGTGAGTGTGTGGGAGCGTCGCATTTGAGTGCAGCTGGAGATTGGTCTTTGGTTGTTGCTCTGGCTGTGGCTGTGGCTCTGGCTCTTGTGCTCTCTGACACTGGCTTTGCCCGGGATGTGGCTGCCATGGTGACCAACGTTGCGTATGCTTGATAATTTCACCGTCGGAAGATTCGAGCTCTAGCCCCATAAATATTTTGGCTGGCAATAAATCATCATCATTGACAACGATGGCCACTGGTACGCCTTCTGTTCCGTCTGCTCACTCTTCCTTCCACCTTGTGGAACGGCCGAACGGCGTTGAAAGTGAAAACACATAAACTCTGATGCCTTCCATTATACTTATACTCGTTTAATACCCTCACAGAAGGTATTTCACGTTTCACCAGACATTTGCATTTCCCAAGATTCTGTCCAAATATGGTGTCTCGCCATTTGATGTTGGGTATGGGTTTAAGGGTATGACAAGCCGCAGACCCTTAAGCTAATCTTTATTTTCTGGCTTACCAGGCGCTGGCTCTTACCTAAAATGGAACCACCTACCGTGTCCGTATTCGTGTCCGTGTCCGGCACTTCAACATCTCCACTCCTGCCGCTGCCACCGCTGCCGCTGCCGCTGCTGCTGCTGTCGCGGCTGTGTTATGGTCGCAGTCGTTAAGCTCGTACGTTACTTTGTTTCCTTTCCTTGTCACAAGCTTATGTAGTTCCTACTCCTTCCCACTTTCCTTCACACTCATGTGAACTCATCTCATACTCGTACCTATTCAGGAGAGTGTCCGTTTGCCTCTAAATGTGGAAGGGATTGGGGGCTGAAATTAATACCGCAACAAAGTGGGAAGGAACTCTTCTCACAGCTTGTAAAGGGATGTGTTGTTTTTCGCAATAATAAAAACAGCAGCTGCTAACAGAGCAGAGCTGAGGGCCCCAGTAGCTAGTGCTCGCCATATTTTTAGGTTCATTTTTTATATACACTGATAGAAAAAAGGCATAGTAAAAATAACTACAATCATATTTGAATTTAAAATGCCATTTTTAAATACATAACATAGTAAAATTTAATAGATATTCACTTTGATTCAAATATTGCTGTATTCAAAATGCTTTTTTTAATACGGTCATATTTAGACCTAAATCACAAAACACTTCAAAATAACAATAATATATTCCAAATTTGTAGTTTAATATGTTTCATATTTAGATTGACATATTCTGTGACATGATTTCAAAATTTTTCTTTTAAAATGCCAAAGGACAAAACTTTTTTATTTTAAATATTCCATTTTAAATGAAATCAAATATTTTTTGTAGTTATTTTAGACTATGCACGTATCGTTTTTTTTTTGTCCCTGCGTTTGCCAACTGGTTCCAGCTGCTGCCGCCTTGAAAACACAGTAACACACCATCTCACCAACGCAGGTTGGCATAATCACAACCCCCGCCCACACCGTTTATCTGTTTGCGAGTTATTTCTAGTTGCAAAACTTTAACCAAGTCCCACCGCATGTGTACTACGCCAAAATAATAACCAATTAGTTAAAAATGAATATAAATATAAATATGAACATATGTAGATTTAAATATTAAACATATTAAATTTAAATATGAGGCATATTAACATTAAAAAGGAACTACATATTAAATTTGAATATGAAAACATATTAAATTTAAATATGAAACATATTTAATTTAAATATGAAATATATTAAATTTAGATATTTCTATATTAATATCAAAATTTAAGTGAAAAATATTCAATTTTAAAGCAACCACTCTTGGAGTGAAAATCAAGGTCATAAATATTAAAATCTGAAGTGGAAAATAATTAAAATTTCAGGCTTTTTCTCTACGGTGGT